AACAGAACAACAGTGAGGTACAAACTTCTTGACAGTAGCTGTGGCATTTGTCTGAAAAAAATAAAACATAAAAAATGAAGCAGAGGAAAACACAAGATTTCCTAAGGGGCAAACGTAATTCAACACGCACATTAATTGAAGAGTCCATAATACAGAAGACACATCCCCTACAACTGCAGGCACCAATTAACTGATCAGGGTTTACTTGCCATGTAACAGAGCGGTTGTCACTTGAGTGTCAAAAGTAATTCGCATTTTCGCGAATTACAAACGTAACATGAATTTTTTTCGTAACATCAATTTTTTTCAAACTCACCCTAGCAGCCGCCCGGCACATGTCTGCTGCCATCTTTCCTGCCACCTTTGCTTCAAGTACTTTGTTGGTACAAAACGCAAACAGCTGATCAAGGGCACACTGAAAAAACAAAAAATAAATACATGCACACTGAGTGAATATATGACACTGAACGTGAGGTCCATATAGCGGAAATGTTCGTGGAGTTATGGACGAAGGCGAAGTCTGTAAACTTGCAAAACGACAAAGAGACGAATGTTCCCCAACAAACAACAAGCCAAGCATTGGATCGAGAGTACAGTGTACGCAGTTACTCAGGTAAATTTTGAATGTTTTAAAAAGCTTAAATTTTGCCCCAGGACTCTTCAAGAAGGGTTGTACCTTATCCCAAACAGAGCATTTGCATGGATGCCCACATTTCAAATTCTGGCTAATGAAATTTCCTTGGAAACAAAATCAGCTGGAAATCATAAGACTAGTTATTCTGATTGCACAAAAGAACTTCACCTGAAAATCTTGGGCGAGCTCTGCATCAGAATAGCGTGAAATGTTGAGGCCACACCCATCCCCATCATGCCCTCCAGGGAGTGACGCTGATCAGCTTTCATCGTGGTACTGTATAGCTCTGACGTGTTCTCAAATGATGAGTTGTCAATCATTGCAACAAATCTGTAAAACAGAAACAAAAAAATGATAACAGACCCAGATATAGTTTAACAAATGCTGTTGAGACAAACATCGTGACTGCTGTCACTAAGGATTTACTTCATGATTAGGATTATCCAAAAATTACTCCAACAGAAGCCTGGGTTGGATGTTAGAAGTAAAGTCTGCATACAAGCCAAGTGGCCCATCAGACCAGCGCTTATCTCTGGTTTCTGTAGCATGAAACAACTAGGACTATTTCCCCTGGATGGGATGCTAGTCCATTGCAGGGTGACCCCCAGCATTAAATTTGCCAGTACCCATTTATACACCTGGATGGAGAGAGGCACGGTGAAAGTAAAGTGTCTTGCCTAAGAACACAATGCAATGTCCCTAGCCAGGACTCG